ATGCTGGGGTGTGATGAGGTTATGACCTCAGAAATTCCCAGTGTTGTTACAGACATGAGAACAACTGATTAAAGCAGATATGACCTCTTAGCTAAAGTAGTGTAATTAACAATAACAATAGCATCAAGCACAGTTTAGGAACGACAAACTGTGGTAACTATTAACTTTGTACCTTTAACCATAAGAGCAAAATCTACAATTATATTACAGAACTGATCATCAATTGGAAGCTTGTTTGCAAAGCGTTTCCCCTTGGTAGACTGGTTTGATCCTGTGGTGGGGAAATTTAAGAAAGATAGTGAATGAAACAAAGGTAACTGAAAAGAGAGTAGAAGCCAGGTTGGAGGAGAAAGGATGATCACACAAGCATTGGGAAACCAGAGAAGAGGATGAAAGAACGAAGGGGTAAATAAGGAATCATTTGAATTTGGTCTCTAAGGTTGGATGAGATTAGCTTTCTGTGGCTGGATCTCTCCCCAGATGTTTTGAAAAGAGAAAAAAGAAATAAAAAAAGAGCAAGAAGCGGGGAAGCCCTCCCCACCGGCTTCTAATCTGTGTGTCCTTGTTCCTAAGCACAGCACTGGTTCACTTAACTCAGCACCTGTTGGCTCATCTCATTACTGTTTCTTCTGAGTTTCGCACCGTTAGTCCTGCCTGTCCATCCTGTGTACCCCGGCAGGGCGCCCTGCTGTGTGCCTGACCTTCCTGCTGGTCTCTGGGCCTTCCCTCTCTGTTTACCTGGATCCCACAGCCTCGATGGGCCTTCTTGCCATGCTTTTCACTTGGATCCTGGCAGATGCTGTCATTGTAACTTTTAAAATATAAATAGTAAGACCACTTCTACCACACGGACTGGAGGAGGGATGGTGTTATATCAGTAAACAAAGACAGCGGCCAGTTTATTGATGAGCATCTCCCGGAGCAGCGATCTCACCTCTACGGGATAACTGCAGTCTATCCCTACTGCCCGCCGGGCCGAAAATGACTTCTGTAATGTAAAGGACCTGATGTTTACAACCAGAATCTTGACCCTAAAGAACATTTACTACAAAGGAAGAAAGTGAAAAAGAAATTGGTCATTAAAAGTTCCTAGACATTCAAGATGAACACTTTTAGTGCAAAAAGACTAAGTATATTTTGTGAAAAATTTATACCTCGATCTTTACTACTGTATTTTTTTAAAAAAAGGTTGTTAATGGAAGTTGTTTAAAAAGGTCATTCTATTAGTTGCTTGTTAAAAGCAACATTTATAAACATATTTAAAAGGTCAAATTCATTCAAGTAAGACTCAGTTAAGAACTTAAGAAGCTGAATCTGATTTTTGCTATGGATTTTTTCTGGCCAAGAAATGAAAGCACATGTGTTTGGTATGGAACTACGATCCTGGATATCAGCAGTGTTGATGTAGTTAGAGAAGGTTATGCAGAACTGACGGGAAAGAAGCAACTTACAGTTGTTCCCTCAGAAGTCCTGAGTTTCCTTACCTCTGCATCAGGTGCATTTCTGTTTATATTACAAGGTGCTAGAATGATTCAGTTTGTATTTTCTAACCCTGTCAAGGGCCCCTACAGAAGTAGCCACAGAAACTATTACATTTATAAATACCAAAGAATAGCCATTATCAGATTTTCCAGATAACATCAATAAAATATTTTAAATTTTTCTATGAAAAAAAAATAGTAAGTGATTTTAAAATTAGTTATGCCATGTTTCATGTATACTGTGATCTTTCACTATTTATGTATAGTCTAGGAAAGAATTGAGACCCTTTCTATTTAATTTCTATTTCTGTTCATAGAAAGCCAAACTTGGAATTATAGGTCATTAAAACTGAAGTGAATGGACACTTCTCAGAAGCACAAAAGGCCAATAATTACATACAGAAACACTCAACATCACTGGCCATTAGAGAAATGAAAATTAAAACAACACTGAGATTTTATCTCACCCCAGAAATGATGGCCATCATCAAGAAATCAAATAAAATTACAAGTGCTAGAGAGGTTGCAGCAGGAAAAAGGAATCTTTCTTCATTGTTGAAGAAACTAGTATAACTCCTGTGGAAATCAGCATGGAGATTTCTCAAAATCCTGAAACTAAATTTCTGTTTGGTCCAGCTATTCCCCTTCTGGGTATCTTCCTGGAAGAGTTAAAGATATCATGTTATAGTGAGTGATACATACTAACCATGTTTATAGCATGAAACTCATGCTAAATGTTGAATGTGGCCTTTAGATCCATCAGCAGATGAATGGACAAAGACAATATGGTAGGTACACACAATGGAGTATTACTCTGCCATAAAGAAAGATAAATTTGCATCATTTGTCAGGAAACTTTGTGCCATAATGTTAAGTGAAACAAAGCAGTCACAGAAGCTTAAGCTCTGTTATATGAGAAATCCAAAGTATAAATAAGGAGCAAAATAAAGAATAATAAGAAGTAGGGAAATAGATCTTTGTCAAAGAGGAGGAGAATCCAGAGATGCAAGGAGAGGGGAGAGGGGAGGGGGAAAAAGTTGAAAAAAATAATTAGGATGTGTTATGTACATGTATCAACTCCCCACAAAGAATTCAAACATTATGTATTGTAAGCATGTATTAATAAATAATATATATGTAAAAAGATGTGAATAGCATTTTAAAAAAGAATTATAGAACATCAGAAATGATAACAAAGTTTAGCTCTAACTGATGCTAATTAGTTAAATATATTTTGGTTAAATATGCATGCAGAGATTATCATAATTTCTTACAAAGGTTGCTTTCCACAGTCTGTCGCTTCCTGAGTTAGCAAACATATTTCACCTGAAATCTGGAAGACTAAGCATTTATATCTAGTAGATATAGGTGAGGGAATTCCTAATCTACTATTTGATTACCTTTGACTGTGGAAAATATTTCTTTATATCATTTTGCATCCTTTCAGTGTTTTAAATATGCCAATAACATATCAAAATGTGTCTCTCCAGTTTGTGAAGAAATGTTTCAGCTACTGGAGAGTCAAACTGAAGGAGACCCAGCTACTTACATTGTGGTTCTGTTGTATCAAGATTCCCTGAATTCTCAGCATTAAAATTGTGAGAGCTTGGCTAAGAATTAAGCTGCCTAGTCAGGTATGGTGCATACTTGCAGTCCCAGCACTTGCAAGGCTGAGGCAGAAGGATCTTTGAGAGTTTGAATCCAGCCTGGGCTACAAAGTTAGCTCAAGTCTATCCTGAACTGCATAGCAAGACCCTGTCTCAAAAAAAAAAAAAAACCCTACAAAAGATTAATTAAAAAAAAAAGAATTAAGCTTTCTCAAATACCAGTTACTGATCTACACTACTTATGTGAGTCACTTGAAATCATAGAAATGATCAGCAGATTTATCAGCATTATCAAGGTCATGAAAGAATGATTGCTTTTTGTTTCGGTTTGGGTTTTTTTTTGAGACATAGTCTTGCTGTGTAGTCCAAGGCAGCCTCCAACTCATGACAATCTTCCTGCCTCAGCTGGGTTCCAGGGTTATAGGCATACACCACCGTGCCCAACAGGAATACTTTTTGTGTCATCCTTCACTTTAAATATCTATGTGAATTCCTTGCTCTTTAACAACCAGTGCCTTTCCCTGTGGGACAGCAGGCACTGATATCTGCTGAGCATATTGCACATTGAAAAGACAAATAGTCCGTGACCATAGTTTGATATCAAAATTTGAGGGTGCTCATGTTCTTTTTATAAAATGGCATAGTATGTGCATATGACCTCTACATATCTCCCTGTGTACTGTAAATCATCTGTAGATTCCTTGTAATCATTGAGTGCAATGTAAACTGTTGTTATGCTAAATTGATTGGGAATTAGTGACAGGAAAAATGTCTGTGCATTCAGTATGGACACAATTTTTTAAATTAATTTTTTGGGTCTTTTTGAGACAGGGTCTCACTATGCAGCTCAGGCTAGCCTTGAGCTCATTTTGTAGCCTAGGCTGGTCTTAAATTAGCAATAATCGTCCTGCCCCAGCCTCCCAAGTGCTGGGATTATAGGCATGCATCACCACGCCTGGTTTGGATACAATTTTTTAAAAAATATTTTAATTCCAAGGCTTAATCCCAGGATATAGGACATGCAGATATGAAGATAAAGCTATTTTGATCATCAGATCTTCTCTGAGGAAGACACAGAAACACATACCAGTCTTAAATGTGCTTTTATTCTATGGAGCTTTTCTCTACCATTCTCCAACAGTAATGATCAACTGTATAAACTCTAAATCCTGAAAAAATAACTGTGGAAAGACTATTTTTTATTTTTTGTCTTTTTGAGATAGAGTCTTGCTATGTAGTTCAGTGGTAGAAAGACAATTTAAAAGACATTTATTTGCAATTTTAAAAGGGCACTTATTTAGGGCTGGGGATTTAGCTCAGCGGCATAAGCACCTGCTTTGCAAGTGTGTGGTCGTGAGTTCAATCCCTGATACCGATAAAAACGAAAACGACAAAAAAAAAAAAAAAGGCATTTATTTGAGAAACACATAAAAACACGGCCATTTTCTACAATATTTATAGGCCACTACATTCAAGGTAGGCAATAATACATATATGCAAGTGCACTCAGTTGTATATGTGTATCAGGAATAAATAAACCATATTTGTAAAGAAATAGGTCAAAAATAAAATACAGGCACATGTTACTGTGTTGATAATTTTGTGCATCCGGCTTTATAACTGCAGCCTTCTGAAAGGGAACCTGAGTGTTTTGATGAGATTCATCAGAACTGCAGTGGGTCACTGCCTGCAGCTGAAAACATACTCATCGCATACCCAGAATCTGTCTGTCCACCATCCCTGCCGGTACCAACACCACCCTGCCCCAAATTGCCACTGCAGCTTTTAGGATTTCAACCTTTGGGATCTTCATCTTTTAGGATGATGATTTTTGGAATTTTACACGTTAGGGATTTTGACTTTTTAGGATGTCAACATTTGCGATTATGACATTTGGATTTGTGAATTTCAGGTTTGTGATCAGCCACGGGCAGTCTGCGTAGTGCTTGATCACTTCACCAAGTGACTTGTGGAAGTCAGCGTGCCGAGTGACTGCTGGTGAGTGTGCTTAGGAGGCGTTACAAATACATGATGTTTGGGAACCTTGAATCTTCAGCTGCTGTGAAACAGTAAACACTAGTTTATCATCACTTAAGATTCTTGACTGAACAATATCTATAAGGAGACTGAAGTTTTTTACAGATACTTTTGGAAGACCTTTATGTTATTCACCTTACCAATCAGATAACACTTTTTTTTTTTTTTTGGTCTTTTTGAGATGTAATCTTTCTATGCAGTTCAGGCTGTCCTTGAGCTCACTTTGTAACCCAGGCTGGTCTCGAACTTGCAATGATCCTCCTGCCTCAGTCTCCCTAGTGCTGGAATTACAGGCATGCACCAGCATGGCTGGCTCATATAACACTTTTTGGTGGTTTTTTTGTAAGTTGTTAACTTTGTTCCTATTTTTAAACTTCTAGTTAACAAGTATTTACTAAGGGCTTATTGTGCACTAGATATTCTATAAAATAGGGTATTTCTGCCTCCCTAGAACTAGTATTTTTTACATCGGTATATAACAGACTGCTTGTTTTTCTTTTTCTCCTTTTTCTTACTATGTTTCAGATCCATAAACTATTTTAAGTCTGTTCTCATTTCAAGTTTGGTTCTCCAATATAAACATATAACAATAGTATTAATCCTTTGCTTATGGATTTAAAAGTTCTATTTAAAAATTCATTTAGAATAGTGAAAAACATCCTTATATACATTTGAATATAGAAATAGAGTAAAATATGAAATATCCTCCTTTACAATCCTCATCCCGATTCATTTCTTTGTACCGGGAATTGAACTCATGACCTCACGCTTGTTAGGCAGACACTTATATCACTGAGCCAAACCCCCAGTTCTAACTGATTCTTCTAGAAGCCATACACATAAATGTTACAAAAATGCCTATTTCCTAGAGGTTTGGTACACTGCTATCTGTTTAAAAATGAGTCTGTATGGAGTTTTAAAATATCTCGTTGCTTTTTGGGTACTACATGGTTAAGCATTTTTGCATGTTTCGTAGTCGTTTGTATTTTTCCTTTTGTGAATTGCTTTTTCGTATAATTTGGGGTTTTTTCTGTTGGACTGTTCGTTTCTTTTGGGTTAATTTTGGTAATCGGTGTTTTCCTAGAAAATTATCTGTTTTGTCTAGTTCACAAATCCATATATATAATTATATCCTCTTTCTTGTTTCTAATTTGGATACTTTTTATTTTCCTTCCTTGGTTAGGTTTGTCAGAGGTTTTACCGTGTTAGTCCTTTCTAAATACTAACTTTTAATTTTGCTAATCTTGCACATAGAGAAGATAAGAACAAAGGTTCAGATATGTTGCTAGGCACCTGGAAAAAAAAATTTTGGACATTCCTCTTCTCCCGAACACCATCACAAATGCAGACAGTTCACAATCAATTATGAAATAAGGCAAGAGTCAGGAACCAGACAGAATAAGATCAGACATCAGCTTTATTAATAATCAGACTGAACTGTGACAAATTAGTGGTGGACCTGTGATCAGCTTAAGGATCCCTCACGGCCCATGAATTAAAGTTAACCAAGAAATTCTGAGAATAAATACTTCTGGAGGTTCGATTAAAAGCCAGTTTGAGATGAACAAATCGATTGCTTATAGACACTGAGGATCAAATGGCCTCCCGGGAGACAAGTCTTTCATTTCCATTTGGAGACTTAAATCAGGAACAAAAGAAGTGAGTTGGCTTTCCCTTGTTGGTGACCTACGAAGCACAGCCGGATTGGTGGAGGAGATGATTCTAGGGTTCAGAGACCAGGAAGGGGAAGACAGAACCAGAGAAGAGGGAGCGGCCAGATATTCCTACCCGTGTCAGCCTACTGCCAGGCCTCGAGGGAGTGTGGCAGTGGAACGTCTCAAAGAGAAGCAGCAGAGGTCAAGTGATGGCAGGGCATATCCCAGACCTTGATGGCAGGAGAGTGGAGTGGTGGGCACATGCCAAGTGAGATGAATTTGTTTGTGGGGGACTGGGGCTGAGTCATTCTAGACTATCCAGGGTGCTTGTTCTTTGCCCAAATTAGTTTAACATCTGCTTTGGCACCAAAGGGGGGCTGCTTTCCTATTCCTGGCTAATTAAACAAATGCAAATCTATGCCGCCTGGGAGGGAAGCGCAGTGTGGGTGGCAGGTGTGTAGTGCTAGAAGCAGAGGGTGTTGGGTGCTGGGTTGCGAGGGCCTGCCGTAGAATCAGACATGCCTCATCCTTACATGACCTCTCAAGGTCACACTACATGACCTTGGTGTATGAATTCACCAGCACTGTAGTGGTGCTTTTAAAAGTGAAAACCCATTGGCACGCCATGACTTGTAAGTGACAGACTCCTTGTTCTAGTCATGCATTTACAGAAAGACCCTTGGCTTTATATTTGCATAGGGAGGGTATGAAGAACCTCCTTGTCTCATAGCTGGTAGAAGCCAGCCCCACTAACCATTCCTCTCCCAGTGTGGTATGCTTCCCTGTGTAATTAGTTCTGTCTGTGTAATTTTTCACAGTGAAATTTTATGCTTTAAAACAAAATTAAAGTCCTCTGGAGAGATGGATTGGTTAACACCGAAGTCAAGTTTCTTTGAGTAGGAATGAATGTTTCCAGTTGAACTTTCTAGATACTTTTTAAAAAAGAATACTGTTGGGGCTGGGGATTTAGCTCAGCGGCATAAGCGCCTGCCTTGCAAGCAGGCAGTTGTGAGTTCAATCCCTGGTACCGATAAAAAGGAAAAAGACAAAAAAAAAAAAAAAAAAAGAATACTGTTTTAGTTTGATTCTCAAATGTGCCCCAAAGGGTCATCCATGTGTTGAAGGATTGTTCCCCAGACTGGTGCTGTAAGTGGGGGAACTGTAGAGGTTAGGACCTCATGACATGTCTTGCAGTCATTGGAGATGCGCTGTTGAAGCGAATAATGGCCCTGTCCTTTTCCAATTTTGTATCCTGGCCATGAAGCGAGCAGTTTTGCTCTACCATGCCTTCCCTCTGTGATGTGCTGCCTTCCCACTGGCTCAAAAGTAATGAGTCCGACCAGTCGTAGACTGAACCCCCAAAACTCTGAGCCAAAGTTAACCTTTCCTTTATAAGTTTATTATCTTAGGTATTTTGTTACAGTAATAGAAAGCTAGATATCACAAATACAATTCTATACTCTATGCTTATGTCAATTTTTAGATTTTGATGTTTTAGTACATTCATTATGACCCTCCCCTTGGCCCCCCCCCCCAGAGTCATCCTAAAGTATTCAAGATTCTCTTAGATATACCTCTCCTGCTGTGTAGGAGTCCCAAGGATCCTTACTCTGACAGTCTTTGCAAAAGTTAGTCTAACATCAGTTTGAGACTTAGAGTCACTTTCATCTTTTGGTTTTTTGGTTTTTTCCTAGTTATTTTTAGGGTTGACAAATTTATTTTCCAAGAGCGAAGTAACATTTTTAAGCTTTGATTTTTGGCTGGGATTTAGGAAATTCTTGTTCTGTTGATAACTGGCAGATTTCCCGCTGAGGCACTTAAACTCAGCCCACGCGGAAGTTTCCTTCAGCTGCTGGGTGTTGGTCTGAGGCTTGGCCACACAAACACTGCCCAGTCCCCATGCAAAGGGGCACCACAACCTGCCACTGCACACAGCTACCTTACTCTGCCCTCAGGGAATCCAGGAAGGAAATTTCAGAGTTCCTGCAAAAGAAGGCTAGTCCAGACAAATGATTGCCACGATTAAGAAAGCTTTCTTCAGTTGGGTTGAACTTGCTTTCCGCAGTGTAAGCCTTGAAGTTCAAATAGAATCTTGTGCTGTCAGTGTTCATGATTATTGTTATGCTTCAGCAGAATTTTTAAAGTTATAAAACTACTACACATTCACTGTAGGTGGTGCAGAAAAATTTTAAAAGCATAAACAATATTGAAATTTCTTATCTGATCACCCAGAATAAACATTCTTAATATATAAGTTTCCCCTAGTCTTTTTCTATACCTAAATATAAACGTGGACATTTATATTGTGTATTGTCATCATTGTTCTATATCATCAAAGATTTTATAGTATCACTCCCCTTCCAAGTAGCTGGAATTATAGGTGTGTGCCACTGAATCTGGCACAATTTCACTTTTGAAATTTTATTGCTATATTTTAGATATACATAATTATAACATTCATCGTAGGGAATTTTTATGTGGAATTTGTACCTGTATATGATAAATTTTGCTTCTTTTTTTCCCATTCCCCTTCCCTCCCTTCAATCCCTTTCTCTACTTTTTTTTTTTTTTTTTTTGTCTTTTTCGTTTTTATTGGTACTAGAGATCGAACTCACGACTGCCTGCTTGCAAGGCAGGTGCTTATGCCACTGAGCTAAATCCCCAGCCCCTTCTCTACTTATTTACAAAAGCTTTGTTTCCATTTTTTCTTCTATTCTCTCTTTTTTTCTTATCCTTTAAAAACCCTTGTTCATCTTCCCATTTGAACATTTTCTTCCCATTTCCCAGTTATCTGTTATACATTTTGGTCTTTTTTACAGGTTTGGTTTCTCACACTAGAGAAACAATGTGGTATTAAACATGTGTGTCTGATTTATTTCATTTATTAATGTGGTCTCAAGTTGCATCCATTTATCTAGAAATGTCTCAAGATTATACTTCTGTTTATGGCAGAATAGTACTTCATTGTATATTGTATACATAAAAATCACATCTTCTTTATCTACTTATTGGTTGATGAATATTTGGGCTGTTTCCAAAGACAATATCTCTTTTTAAACTGAGATATGATTCATATACCACACAACTTACACTTTTTTTTTTTTTTTTGTATTTTGAGGGCATGGTCTCACAGTTTAAGCTAGTGTTGAGCTCACTTTGTAACCCGGGCTGGCTTCAAACTTGCAACGATCCTCCTGCCTCAGCCTTTCTAGTGCTGAGATTATAGTATGCACCACCACACCCAGTTACAATTTATACTTTTTAAAAATGCAGGGCAGTGATTATTTTGTATATTCACAAAGTTGT